TTTACGGTGTGGTACCCTCAATGTACAATTAGATTTCGAGCGATACCACTTTTGGGCATTCTCCTTATAAGTAGTTACTTTCCCTATTGTAATGTTATGAATTTCATTTTGCAATAAAAATACCATAGTTATGACTCGATTGTCGTAATGAACGAACTTTGTAAACCTTGCAGGTTTGTACGGAACCCTCGGTGCGCGAGTCCGACTCGCACTTGGCCGGTTTTTTTTTATAATCATGATGTCAACGATATTAAAAAAAAACCAAATTAAAATCAAAAATACTATTACTTCTTTAAGTAAGCAAGTAAAGACTTGCTTCCTGAAATTATATCAGTTTTGTGTGTCTAAGAAAAGTTGTTAAGACTAAGAAAAAATGTTGGGAAACGCTTAACTTCTTGCTATTAAAAGACGTCATATTGAAGACTCTTTCCCTTTTCCAACAAACAAGGGGCAAAGAAACCGTCAATATAAATGTAGGTACCTATACGGTAACCATTAAAATGTAAAAGGCACCTAGTTACGACGAAATTAGATAGGCCAATTTGTTAAAATAAAAAATGGTTGTTTAAATATTGAAAACCTAAAATTACAATTTATTTCACAAACACTTTATTGTATGGCAAAAGTGAGAAAAGATGTCTTAAGAACATTTTAGCCTAAGCTGGCGTCATAAAATGAGGGGTCCTTTGACTTTAACTCGATAAAAATGTAAGTAAGCATGTCAAATTAAGTTGGAGTGTTGGCGTTTCCCTGAATTTTCCTTTTAGAAAACCTTGGTCGTGATAAAACTAAAAGTGGATTATTTTTAGGTAAAACGTTTTCGTAATGTGGCTTTACTCACAATTACCCTACTAAACATTGTGATGTTCTTCGTCGTAATTTTTTAATTAGGCAATAAAATAAGACGTAAAAATTAAGAGATATATTTATACACAGCAGTCGTAGTAATTTCGAGATCTTTACTTAATAACATTAGTCGTAAGAGTTTCTTTCTTACCTTTCTTTTTTGTAGGTTAATGGATATTATTTACTACTAGCTTTCCGCCCGCGGCTTCGCCCGCGTGGAATTTTGTCTGTCACAGAAAAACTTTATCGCGCGCGTCCCTGTTTCAAAAACCGGGATAAAAACTATCCTATGTTCTTTCCCGGGACTCAAACTATCTCTATGCCAAATTTCATTAAAATCGGTTGCGAGGTTTAAGCGGGAAAGCGTAACAGACAGACAGACAGAGTTACTTTCGCATTTATAATATTAGTTGGGATTAGTTGGGATAATTTGTGCAATGGATAACTTAAAAGTACCTACTGCAGGTAAAGGAGGAACCCTAACTTCGAACTCCTCCTATGTTTTTCTGATTAATTTCGTTGCGGGTCCAATGACAGTTTAATTTTCCCCGGGACAAACTTGGCCTTCACTGATTGGGTTTTTATTGGTGGTCAAGCTGTAGATCATGGATACTGGTGGAAAGGTACACAGGAGTTGGGAATAGTCCCGTACCTACTACAGTACAGAATAAGCAGGTACTATTGTAGAGCTTAGTATTTGATATTATATTGTACGTCATTATCTCTAAGCTTTCTTAAGTATCTAATAAGTATTGTAACCACGAATTGAACTTCTATCAGATGTTCTTTTACCTTTTTATATGCAGAACCCTACAAATGGAAATGACGCACCGGTCGCCACGGAAAGAAACTTTTAAAAGTAATAACACTTAGTTTGTTTCTTGAAGAGTTATCATAAAAATTGGTGAACCAATAAAATACTTTTTCGTAACTCGAGTTCAAAACAATAATCAGGTCACCTTCCTTTGAGACTTAAAAGAAAATTTCGCAACTTCAACCCACAGTGTATTCAAAATGTTTATCACCATTCCCGTGCAGTAATAAGTGGTGTATTTCTTTTTTTGTGGGATATTTTGAAGTATGTATCTTTCGCCTTTTGTTTTTCAATGTATAGTTTCTTTTTTCAGAATAGTAGGGCGGGTTTTACCACAGAATGACTAGTTACTGGTTTTCTTTTTTCCGAGTGTAAGTGGCCAGTGTTGGTTTTACTTGACAATTCATTTTCGCGGGAAACCAGACTGCATGGTGTTGCGATTTATTCCTCTTGCAAGACCTTATGAACCTTACAAAAAAAACCTTTCGTAAACATAGGTGTTGATACGTTCACTCCTTACAATATCGAGCAAATCCGTTAGTAGAAGCTAACGTTTTGCCAAAAATATAACTTCTGTAAATTATTTAGTTAACCTTAGCATTGAGATACCTAAAATACTATAAAGTTAAATATCTGTAACTTATGTACTCAATATTGACTAATTTCTATACGATCGACAATGTGTTCAAATCGAAAAAACACAGTTTTTAGAGTTGTTCTATTTTACAATAATCAAGCAGCTTCAGTTGTTAGTTGAGTATTTTTTGCGTTTTACCAAGTATATTTTTCTTCTTCCAGAATTAAAAGAAGCCTTGCAGACGGCCAGGACCCAGGAGATCAGGATACCGTTCGGTGTAGGAGTTGCTGGACTGGCTGCTCAGACCAAACACCCCATCAACATCAAAAACGCTTATGCTGATCCCAGGTAATTCCCCCCTTTTACCCCTGGTAAATTAGATAGGGTCGTCCACGTCGTCCTCCTGCTGTGAAGATAAAATGACCCGTAGATGATGAGTGTTGACTCATCATCATCATCTCGTCGAGTTGTTCATTCTCTCATTATAGACGACTGATCTCTCTATTTTACCAGAAAAGGGACGCCTATTAGAGAGGATGGTCCTCCAGCATTGTTAATGTAGTATCATAAAAGTATACGTCATGTAGCTGAAATAATGATGATGATGATGAGTGGAGAATATTTGATCGAAGTAAATAAAGAGGTCACTGTTACTGTCTACTTAAGAAGATGCTAATGCTAATCTGATGATCTGTAGGGGAGACCTAGGAGAGTTGTGACAATTTTTACTTTAGAGGCCATATCTCGCTCAAAAAACATTCCACAGCTATGAATCATAAAAATTAATGTAGCACCGTTCCTTCTGTTTTCAAAACAATAACCAAAGTTAACTAAAGTATTAGGATTTCTAAGAAAATCACCAAAATCTTAGACCACTCCCTCTGTCACAACTCTCCCAGCACCGAGGTAAGTTGTGACAGGTACCGAGGTGAGTTGTGACAGCATTGTATTTGATCTATTAGATATAAAAATACCATAATACTCAATCAAATATTATTTTTTTAGCAAAAAAGTACTTTCATCATCCTTTAGTAACAATTAAAACAAATAGTTATAGGATATCGTTACGCAGATTGAGCCCCATTTCTCCAGCTTTCATTTTTCTCCCACGACACTGGATTTTTTTTTATTACTTATATTTTTTAGCTAATATAGTCACTTAATATATTTTCTTCGTCTTCTGTAAAAATAAAATAGTCTCGGTGGTATAATCCATAGACGGAGCTTCGCCTTCTGGGTTTACTTGATAAGCCTCTTTCTTCTTAACATATCTTTACACGTTTAGATTGTAAGAGGTCGCAGCAAATCTTAAACTTTAACCCTTTTTAACCTAATCACGTCTTCATAAGTCAGGTCCTATATTTCGACTCCAGCAAGCAGTTCCTCTATATGGTATTCATGTATAGTCATTAGGCATTCAAAATCAAAAAAGTAGCAGCAGGCAATTATTCAAATTAATTATGAACCTACTAACACACAAAAAACATCTAAAAACATCGTGGAAATGGCCCATCAGAAAAATTAAGTAAGCTAGGAGAGTTCTGACAGGCTGTCACAACAAAAAATAACACAACAGTGCACATATACTAAGACATGATTTAAATTGAAATAAAATTTTGACGAAAAACTTACTTTTCGCATTTTTTTGTACACAGACGTCATATTTACGTAACCGTGCCTCTTGCGCCGCCCGCGGGTTCTTAGTCAAGAAGAGCGTGTTAAAAGCGACAAACAAGCGTTTTTTCCAGCTTCCTAACTATATTAAGCATAGCTGGGCATTAACTCGTTAATCCGTTAATCGTTAATTAACGAAGTTAACATTTCTATTAACGGATTAACTTTTAAGTTAACTTTAAAAAATGTTAACGTACTCGTTAACTTCCGTTAAATTATCCTAAGTCCGTTAATCCGTTAATCCAGTACCTACTATTTACCAAAAGCACGCTGAAAAACGCGTTCTGACAAGTACGTTCGGGCTTCCAAAACTTCCAGAACCCAAAACAACAGTTTTTGTAACCAGATCACTAACGACACTTGTTAGTATGTGTGGGACAACTCTTGCAACTGAATTTAAGACCAGTTTTCCTCAACCGATTGAGCTGAAATTTGGTATACTTATGTAAGTACGATGACAATGCAATGTCTTGGATTGTCGACAATGCAATGGTACCATTGAGCTGGTCTGATGATGGAGTCAGGAGGTGGCCATAGGAATTCCTAAATGAAACGGTGGAAACTTATCGAGTTTGGGTTTTCTGGATTTGTCTTTTCGAGCACTTTGGTGCTAAATTGTATTGTAATTGAACCAAGGCTCTGAGATTGAGATACTACTAAAAAGTGTAAAATAAAATTATAATAATTAAAAAACTTAAAAAAAAAAGCTTTTATTCTGAAATGCAGTTGTACTAAAACGAAAAAATTAATTGTACTTATGCAAGGTTCAAATAATTTCGAAAGCTTGTAGCGCAAACAAAAAAACCGGCCAAGTGCGTGTCGGATTCACGCACAAAATCAAAATTATCTTTATTTGTTTAGACTAATTAAATTAGTACTTGCAAATCGTCAAATGCTCTTAAGGAGCCTATACATGTCTCATTCTTTTTTTGCCCTACCAGCGCTTCGAGACAAACAAGGGTTCCGTACCAATGATTTATGAAATTATTATTTTTTTAATTTAAGTTATTTGTATGAAAGATTACGCGGTAATAACGTATGTGTTTGATGAAAAAAAATTTTTTGAGTTTCAGTTCTAAGTATGGGGTGCCCCCAATATTTATTATATTTTTTTTATTTTTGCATCAAAATCTTAATGCGGTTCACAGAATACATCTATCTACCAAGTTTCAACAGTATAGCTCTTATAGTTTCGGAAAAAAATGGCTGTGACATACGGACGGACAGACGGACAGACAGACATGACGAATCTATAAGGGTTCCGTTTTTTGCCCTTTGGCTACGGAACCCTAAAAAAGAGGAGGAGGAATAAATTCCATGAGCGATACAAGCATTCGAAATTTTTGAACCTTGCATACAATTATTTTTTTCGTTTTATTTTCTTGTGTTAACGGATTAACGATTAACGTTAACTTGCGTTAAATCTTGTGAAATGTAACGTTTTAACGTTTAACGAAGTTAATTTTTTTATTAACGGTTTAACGATTAACGAAGTTAACTATTTGATTAACGGTGCCCAGCTATGATATTAAGTAAGGAGAAATCGTCCTTGTCACAACTCACCTCTGTCACAACTCTCCTAGGTCTCCCCTACCTACTTATAAGCAGTAAACATTTATAACAGGGATTTTGTCATTAAGAAATTACTATTTTACATTTTTAACAAACATTAATAATAATAACTTTATTTATTTCTCTCTTTACAAAATACATAAAGTCACAATTTGTAACGGGTAATTATAACAATAACAATAATTTTACATTTTTAACAAACATTGATCTAATTATTTTCAGATTCAAAAGTAAATAAAGAGGTCACTGTTACTGTCTACTTAAGAAGATGCTAATGCTAATCTGATGATCTGTACCTACTTATAAGCAGTAAACATTTATAACAGGGATTTTGTCGTTAAGAAATTACTATTTTACATTTTTAACAAACATTGATCTAATTATTTTCAGATTCAAAAGTAAATAAAGAGGTCACTGTTACTGTCTACTTAAGAAGATGCTAATGCTAATCTGATGATCTGTACCTACTTATAAGCAGTAAACATTTATAACAGGGATTTTGTCGTTAAGAAATTACTATTTTACATTTTTAACAAACATTGATCTAATTTTCAGATTCAACAGCGAAATCGACGCGCGCACAGGCTACAAGACGGAGCTGATACTGTGCATGCCCATCTGCAACTACGAGGGTGAAGTGGTGGGCGTGGCGCAGATTATCAACAAGACTGATGGTTAGTGGCGTAACTATCGGAGGGCTAAATGTGCTTCCAATCTCAGAGCGCCCTCGGACTGTGAGCAGCAAACCTAGCTAAATATTCTTCCACCACCTCAATGTACCTAAAACATAGGCTGACAAGACTTTAGTCAATGAAACTCAGAAAAAAACTGAGTTCCCAACATCAAAGTAGTTAAGTAACTGACCCAGTTTAGGCACTAAGATCTTAAGCTACCTACGACGCGACTCATGGTAGATCTACTCCATAATAATTATCGACACTTATGAAAATCTTTTTTTTCTCTATGTTATTACTTCACCATGAGAACCAAGAAATTGAATTTTCTTGAATTTTTATGTTTCTGTCAACAAGTACTGGTAACTTTAAGTTATTTGACTATTGTAGTCGCAGTCGCAGGTGTCATCAGGTGATATTAACTGAGATGCTGTCTAAAATGATAGATATTTTAATGATGATTTAATTTCTTATCAGGCTCAAAAGAGTTCTCCCCGCGCGATGTCGAAGTCTTCCGCCGGTACCTCACCTTCTGCGGGATCGGGATCCAAAACGCGCAGCTATTCGAGTCCTCAATCCTGGAATACAAGAGGAACCAAATCCTCTTGGCTCTGGCGAGGAGTATATTCGAGGAGCAGAGCAATCTGGAGTGTTTGGTGACCAAGATCATGACGGAGGCACGGGAGTTGCTGAAGTGCGATCGGTGTGCGGTGTTCATATTGGACACTGATCATTGTGAATCGGTGAGTTAGTTTTTATTTTAAGCAGTTATTGAATGAAGTGACAATAATTGGTAGCACCACTGAATAATTGATTACATAATGATGAACTGATAATGTTCAAAATGGTACGAGAGTAGCAAGCTTATAACGTCACAGTAACAGAACTTATACTGTTTGGGTCTTCAAAACAGAAAACAGATTTCTATGTGAACTATCGTGTAGAAGAATTGCGCCTGGAATCATTAACGGTGCCAACTATCCAATCATATACATACCTACGTATTATGTATGTACCTACATACATTTTTAAGTACACAATATTATACAGTATCAAACTTCTTGGCACCAGCTGATTTCTTATGTTCAACCAAATAAAATGAGGAGGAACCAAATAAATAGGGATGATTTAAACAAATATTAATCACTATTTAATTTTACAGAGTCACTTGGAGAGGATAGTCCAAAGGCCGGGTGGTAGACCTTCCACGACCTTAGCGCTGCCGCCACCAGCCCCCACCCGGTTCCACACGCTCTTTGAACTAGGAGCTCAGCAGTCCAGAACTACCCTCACTCCTCGGCATGACTACCGGTCGACACTAGCATCTATAGCATTGAAGGTATGTCACTTAACATCCAAACCAATCCAAACCTTTGACCTTAAGGCTTAGCATTCCAGAAAAATAGCCATGCCTTGACTGGAGCTGGGTTGCTGGTGGGCTACCAGCAACCCAGTTCCACACATACTAACTAGTTAAGTGCTCAGAGGCTTGAAGCATTTACGAGTACTTGCATCATCTATTCTTCTTGACTTGCCATTGTCAGTTTTATCAATTCACTGTCAATGTCGTTAAAGACTCCAGCAGGAACATACCCTTTCTAATTTAGCAGAAGCAAAAAAGTATAATTATAAAGCTTGATCGTCTCTTCATCATCATCATCATTTCAGCCATAGGACGTCCACTGCTGAACATAGGCCTCCCCCAATGCTTTCCATGTTGATCGATTGGTAGCGGCCTGCGTCCAGCGCTTCCCTGCTACCTTTATGATGTCGTCGGTCCACTTTGTGGGTTAACGTCCCACGCTGTGTTTTCCGGTACGCGGCCTCCACTCCAGAAACTTCTGCCGTCAGTTCTGCGTACTATGTGTCCTGCCCATTGCCACTTCAGCTTGCTAATCCGTCGGCTTGATCGTATGATTTAAAACAAAAATCTCTTAGGCTGACTGTAGTTGAACGATCAGTGCTTTTTGTATGGAATTGGACAGCTTTTTGACGTATCATAGTGACGAAACATTTCCCATATTATTTTTTTAAATTACCTACTTGAAAAATTGTAACACCTACTGATGTAAACCCATTTTCGCAAAATATATGATTTGATTTGATATTTTCAGGTGGCCCAGTCTAACAAGTCCCTGAACATAACTGACCTAGCTGACTGGAGGAAGGAGAACAAAATGACAGCGTCCGACCCGGCGGCGGACGACGCTGCCGAAGTCAGGACGATGCTGTGCATGCCGATCGTCAATGCCAATAAGGACGTAATTGGCGTGGCACAGCTTATCAATAAGGTTGGTGAACTAGACGACCTGGCGAATTTCGTACCGCTAAACAGACAATTTTCCAATGAGGTACAGTCAGCGTCAAATAGTTCGTGACGCCCAAAGTAGCCAAAAAGTTCTCATGCGTATTTGTTACATAAGGTTATGTTGTCAACTTTGGGTGTCATCATTTGACGCTGACTACGTCGCGGACTACCCGTATGAAATACACTAAAAACATTACCCTCCTTTTTGGGGTAGTCAGGTACAAAGTAGACTGTAAAAGTTAACCCAGGGTGTCAGCTATTCCCATACCAAACATCAAAATCCATACAATTATTATTCGTCCAAGTTCTTGAGTTATAAATTATCTAACACGACTTTGTATTTACACCCTTCTACTCACAAAGAGTTTATAAAATCGTTTGACATTTCAGGAAAATGGCTCCCAATTCTCAGACGGTGACATCTCGATATTCGAGGCGTTCGCCATCTTCTGCGGTCTCGGCATCCACAACACACAGATGTACGAAAACGCTTGCAAATTGATGGCCAAACAAAAGGTAAGATTATATTACCTAATGAAAACTATCTGTATTTTCTTTATAAGGGCCAAAGAAGCAAATTTTGAAAGAAAGTTGAAAGCAGTGGGTCTAGACAAAATGCAAATTATAATTGCAAACCAGTCGAAAAGTGGTCGAAAAGCCCCTTTTTTGTATGGAGATTTGACGGATTCGATTTTCGATTCGATCAAAAAGTGCGTTTTGTCTAGGGGGGCTGGTAACCTAACGTTTGCAAAATTTTATGTGACGACAAGAACCCCTCGATTTTGTGACATTAAAAAGTGCGAGGGTTGGCCATCTCTGTCTTGTCACACAATAGCATATAGCACACTCAAATAAAATAGTACCAAATTTTCGAAATACTATGAAAACACTAATCGAAAACCTAACTTTCCGAAGACCCATTTTTTGTAAGAATTACGTAACATGACAAAATCTAAAAATCCTCCTGTCCCATCATAAACACAGTCAAAACGAAACCTAACCTTCTGGAACCTAACCTTCTGAAACCTAACCTTTTGAAACCTAACTTTCTGAAAACCTAAAACTTTATACAATTTTCGAAAACATAACTAAAAGAAATAAAAAATCCAGGTTTATTTAATAATCACCAACGTTTTACAGGTGGCGTTAGAGTGCCTGTCGTACCACGCGACGGCATCTACCGAAGACACCACCAAGCTCTGCCAAGATATCATACCCTCGGCAGAATTATACAATCTTTACAGCTTCCAGTTCCATGGTGAGAACTAAACCAATATTAATACGATTATTATAAAGCTAAGGTGTTTGTTTGTTTGATCGCGCTAATCTTAGGGACTAAACGATTTGAAAATTTGTTTTGTTTTGGATAACCCATTTATCAAGAGAAGCTATACTCGTATACCATCAATACCATCATGCTACGGCCAATAGGAATCAATGAAAAATGTTGCGAAAATAGGAAAAAATATTTAAACCATTTTCGCGCTTATCACAACGCTAAATTTAGTCAAAAGGAGAGACTTACGCCCGTTTACACCATCAATCCCTAATTTTTAAGTGACTCCTATGGTAACACTTAACAGGCATTTTGTTTTTTAAGGGTCACTTAAAAAATAGGGATTGATGGTGAAAACGGGTATTATTCCTTTAGCCCCATATTACAAGTTCTGCACATTACACATGGGATAATCTGATTCTGTGCGGTAGTTTTAAAGAGTCAATTTGCCACACCTTTAACGGGTTTCATTTTCATTCCAGACTTCGACCTTTCTGATGAAGATACATGCAGAGCAACGCTGCGAATGTTCCTACAGTGCAACTTGGTTGAGAAATTCCATATACCTTACGATGTACGTCTAATTTACTTACACTTTTTGGTGTTAGTACTGAGTAGGAGTATTACGATAGTTTTCAATGCGATGAAAAGAGCTTCTCATTAAATCGTTTCCTAAAAGCAGTTGCAGGTTTCAACCAATATTTAAAAAACTAGATACGCTTTGGTGCTACTTACTCTATTCGGTAAAGTCTGACGCTTGTGACCTCGTTATTACTGGTGTCGTCCAAGGGTCGATATTTGAACCTATACTTTTTACTTTGACTTCGTCTTCCTACTTAATAGGATTACAATAAAAACTTGATTCTTAAGTAGGTAGTTCACTTTGTCTGAAAACTTCTAAAATTATTAACTATCATTTGATTTTCTTTTAGGTCCTATGCAGATGGATCCTTAGCGTCAAAAAGAACTATCGACCAGTCAAATACCACAACTGGAGGCACGCTCTCAACGTAGCACAGACCATGTTTGCGATGCTGAAAACGGGCAAAATGGAAAGGTTCATGTCAGATCTAGAAATCCTGGGACTACTAGTCGCTTGTCTATGCCACGATCTGGATCATAGAGGAACGAATAACGCATTCCAGACAAAAACTGAGAGTCCGCTGGCGATTTTGTATACGACGTCCACGATGGAACATCATCATTTCGATCAATGCGTCATGATTTTGAATAGCGAGAGCAATAATATTTTCCAGGTTAGTAAAAATATACGTGTAGTTTTGAGTGCTTAGTTGAGGTAATTAAATAAATAAATAAATCTTTATTAATTTCTTCACAAGTAAGTTTTCAACTACATGTACTAACAATATAACGCATTTTTTAAACAATATTACTTATTGTGAATACTGGTGCTTTATTATGGATATTAAATAACTAAATGGACCAAATGTCCCTTAAAATTTAACGTTCTTGCTACGTGGCTTTTACTACATTATGATAGGCTTCTTAATACGACCAATCCATTGACATACTTTTCATGAGATCGTGGCTCTCCCGTATATATTTTTGTAAGGAGAGACTGACATCACTATTTATCACCAACTAACTACATAATTTGCTAAGAATTACTAAATTCAAGACATCTAAAAATCCAGCCTAAAAGCTTGTACCTCAATTTTCCTGAACATCCAAAGAATTTTAATTTCATTCATGGTTACCTACACTGGACAAAGGCCTCCCCCAAGGATTTCCACAAAGACCGGTCCTGCGCCGCTTGCATCCAGGTACTTCCCGCGACCTTCACCAGATCGTCGGTCCACCTAGTGGGAGGCCTGCCCACGCTACGTCTTCCAGCTCGTGGTCGCCACTCAAGAACTTTCCTGCCTGTCCCTTTCCAGCAGTGGACGTCTTTCGGCTGAAACGATACGATACGATACCTACACTAAATCTGTCAAACTCCGTAGAAAAAAAAGCACCAGTTATCGTTAGAGTTACGGTTTAAGTTAGGTAGTGCAACTCAGCCTAACACTTCAAATTTCAGGCCTTATCCCCCGACGACTACAAAGACGTGATGCGGGTAGTCGAGACGGCGATCTTATCAACCGACCTCGCGATGTACTTCAAGAAGAAATCCAAGTTCCTAGAGCTGGTCGACAACGGGGAGTTCGACTGGCAGAGTCAGGAGAAGAAAGAGTGTAAGTAATATCACAGGTAATATACCTACATAATCTCTTTTCTTGAGACAGACAATGTATGAAGCTTGAGACATTGAATTTGATTTTGAATTAAATTTTTGGATAGATCCAGTTTATTCTGCAACCGTGAAGCGCTTTCAAGATCAGTAACCAGTTTTTCGATATTTTGTATAGTTCAGAAATAATCGAGTGAAATCACTAATCGTTCGCACCCTATATCTTTGTCTAAAATAATAAACATATCAAATCTGAACCGTTGTTGGGCCATTTTCGCAATTTTTCTAGCGTCATTATCATCAAGAGTCATTCAGACTCCATTACAAGAAAGAAAGAAAGAAAGAAAAATAAAACATTTATTTGGTACTAAATTACAGGAGCAAGACCTCCTCTAATTTACCAAGGACAATTGGAGGGTTTGGCCAATACTTCTCACGCTGGTTAGATGAGTTGGAGAGCCCTAATTATCGCATATTTTACTCCCTTATAGTCTCTTTTTACAAAATTCACGGAAATCCTTGCCTATTAGTTACCATCAAGCGCGGCCATCGACCAAACTTTGTTTTTTGATTACAAAATAGTGTAATAAACCAAACTTACTATGGCATGTATACCTCTAAACTCAGTCTGAACTGAGTTACGAGCATTAGAAGTTTGATGATTTTCATACTAGATTTGCTTTTTGTGCGCAAGTTTTGTAAGAAATTGCAACAAAATATTGCGCTATTTTTTTATTGCGCTGATTCTGCTCCATACTAATGTCTGGAGCCTTTAATGGATGATATTGTTTGTTTACACATACAATCTCACTATTTTGTTGCAATTTCTTACAAAACTTTGCGCGCAAAAAGCAAATCTAGTATGAAAATCATCAAACTTCTAATGCTCGTAACTCAGTTCAGACTGAGTTTAGAGGTATACATGTCATAGTAAGTTTGGTTTATTACACTATTTTGTAATCAAAAAACAAAGTTTGGTCGATGGCCGCGCGAAAAAAAAAAGACGCCAATTTCCGGCATTGTCTTTTTACTGATTGCATTTTTGGCACCAGTATCGATCACTAATCAGTCAGAGAAATGAGATATTTCTAAAAAAAGCGCAAAAAACCGATTTTTGTGACCGTTGACCTTGAAATTTAATAGTTGCTTACACCCTACCATATGTAGGTTTTGAGACAACTTTTAGGGTGTCAATATACACGTATTTACAGACTTACAGCTGGGTATCTCGAATTCCGAGGTGAACTTACTTATAATGACTGGACTATACCTATGTTTTTTGTTTAGAAAATCCTATTAGAACTTAAAGGCTTTTAACTCTTTTAAGTTTGATACACCGCGAATTGATCACAATACATAGAATATTTTTAATTAAGTTATGTCAAAGAGGAAAACGATCTCCAAACTGAAGTGGATTTGTGTAAAGCAATCGTTATCATTTGACAGTTCATGACGTACGATTATTCTGTCAAACGCTTTGTTTAATTGACTTTATCGTACATTATGAACTGTCAAATGATTACGATTGCTTTACACAATTCCACCTCAGCTGATACTAAACTTTCGCCTAAATAAACTTTTAGCCCAAATTATTTTTAGCCCATTATATCTATCGCTGTTATTACTTAGGTACTTGAACATCTCGCTATGGGTAAAATAATTTAAACAGTTCCAAATCGGTAACAGTATTTGGCAGTCACACTCAAACTATCTTGCATAGGTCACTAAGAACTAAACCCTTTCTCCTCAGCATCAAACGAACCCATCAAGGACGTGGAGTTAACAGTGACTACCCTCAACTGCGCTAAGACGGCGGCTGAGAGCAGCATGGCGCTGGTGAAGCCAATCAAGACCCCCTTCCATTCCTTGAGGAGAGGCAAGAGCGGGAACTTTACTTCCAGACCGGCTCGGAGTAAGCTTACCAGGTAATTTGAGAATTTAGATTCAAAATACTACCAACCTATTGGACATATACAGGGTATTGATTTCAATACTCGCCATATTTAGGGAGTTGATTAAGTAGCTTATGCTGATCACGAATCAGTAAAAAAATTGACTTGGAAAAAAATTTTAAACGAACTTTAACTTTAGTTAGTCAAAGAAAAATACCTATTTACTAGAGATGAAACGGATAGTTGTTTGGCCGGATACCGGATACCGGATATCCGGCCAGCTGCTAGGCCGGATAGCCGGATATCCGGCGGCCGGATAGTTGGCCCGTTGTCTCGTTGCATGTCGTGATGAGCTTAGCGCCGCACAGGTGCTTCGAACGCGACCAGTGGGTCTATTAGTAGACTAGACTAGTCAAACTTTTCGAAAATCGAATCCGTCTGAATAGAATGTCAGATTTTGTCACTTGTCTACGGGGCAGATCAATTCGGGCGATTTCGGTTGTCATCGTGAGTGTGTGATTGAATAGCGAAAATTAAATTAGTTTACATGCTGCATAATCTGACTAAACTGCATCATGTCATCAGACCATCAGTGAAAATAAAGATCGCCTATTTTATTTGGCAATATTTCGACATTAACAGATCTATACTTATAATAAATCTGTAGAGAGGTCAATTCTGTACATGTATAAGCCATTTTATTGATATTTACCTCAAAGATTAATGTATTTTATTTTATTAATAGGAAATTGTCGTAGTTTTTAATATCCGGTATCCGGCCGGATAGTGAGCTACTATCCGGTATCCGGCCGGATAGTAAATTTACGCCGGATATCCGGCCTACCGGATAGTTACCGGATATCCGTTTCATCTCTACTATTTACACTACCTACTTTACGTGGCTTCCTTCAGTAGGTTATCCGACATGATAAGCGAGCGATCCGCGTAGCTCAATGGTGCCGCAAATGAAAACTATTGCAGTATTGCGAGCAGTACAGTTAATTTCGCACGTAAAATATTCGCTAAAAATTCCACTTTAGTTTGTAATTTTTTTTGGTGGATAATGCGTTTATATAAGTCATAATAGATCACCTAAATAAATATGGCGGGGATTGAAATCAACACCCTGTAGAGACATATTATTATGTGAGAAGCCACGATAGCCGAACGTTGAAGGGGTCGGACTGGCCGACTCGTGATCCGGGGAACGCGGGTTCGAATCCCGCCGCCACTCGACTATTGTGGTGAGCCCACTCGTAACACAAGCATATTTAGCTTAGTACAAGGTGTGGGGCTATTAATTAGTTTAATAATGTGCAATACAAATCAATAATAATCTATTATAAAAAAATCGTAATCCGATGTTGTTTCGCTGCAGTGTTTATTGTGTATACTGTAAATAACACATTACCTAACTGCAAACTTTATATCATTTTACACACATTGCCTATTTCATTCCCATCCATTGTTTGAATGGATACTAGGATTAGATCCATTCAAACTA